GCCATCTATAAGCAAAGCATAACATTTAATTCCCACTACTTTTTTTTTATAATAATTGTGGCCTCATTTTTCCCATGAAAACTTTGACTGACTTTTTATATAAGAAATATCACACTCTATCTTTTTTATCAAAAAAGGGGTGGAGGTTGAAGATTGTTTGATAACATCAAAACAATTGGAAATCTGAGCTATACTTTACTGGCTCTCAGTCATCCTATTATAAGTCAGTCATCAGTTTGTTTATTACATTAGCAAAGAAGGAGGTAGGATTTGATATAACCAAAAGAACAAATTTTTAGGCATTTTTTATAGTAATGTGAATGAACAACATTTTAGTTTTACTTTGCAGTTTGCCTCGGAAAGGCACTACTCTACTATTAATCTAAAGAGTGGGAATATGTGGAGGAGATCCAAAGTAGGAGAAAATGGGGTTACTTTATCAAAAACTGGAGTTCTCCTATTGGGACATCTCCTCCACTCACCCGCCATCCTCCCCACTGAGCTTTGCATCCTTGTGATCAGCTTCCAGTGTAATAAAGGGAGCGTGGTACCAACATGGATAAAGGGAGCTGGGTCAACCTGTTTGACACATGCATGCTTACATACAAGAAATTCAAAATTTCAATGGCTCTGAGATAAGGCATCTTGAAGAAACTTCAAACATGTTGTTCTGTGGAGGAGATTGCCTAATAGAATTCCAGCTAATGGTAAGTAACTCTTACATGAATATTTAGTAGATGCCCAGAATGCTCATGCATTTTACCAATTACCAGCAAAGGGTATGATGTTATATTTTTTTGGCTGTTACTCCTTTTTTTTAAAATCAGACTTCAAAATAGTGCTCTGATGTTCATGTCCTATTTAAATTCTGTACATTTTCTATTATTCAGAGCTTCTGACTTTCCTTAATTTATGGCAGGTTTTACAGTGAATGATAGCTACAATCAGCAGAATCAATTTCCAGCTGTGCAGCAGCTACAGGATTCAAGCACACTTGAATCTCAGGCTCTTTCAACAAGCTACCATCAGCCAAATCTGCTTCAGGTTCCAAACACAGACACTATTAATGTAGTGAGTATAAGATAGAATTTATTTTTACTTGTTTTGTGAGTTTGACTTTCTTGTGGTGACATTGGCTTCTTCTAGAGAATGGCTGTACAACCATGAGGCAAGGTGGTAAATCTTAGGATTTTTCTTGCTTTTTTTCTATTTAAAGCATAAAAAACCACTAAATATATATTGTTGCTTGAGCCACATTTAAAAAGAAGATACACATTTATCACTTTCTTTTATGCCTTCTTAAAACTAAAATTCTAGGGATATGCATGATATGGACATGCTAAATGTTAGAAATTTAAAAGGGAACTTAAATAGGCAGATGGAAGATATGCGACATGAAATTATGGAATTTTCATGGCTAAAGATTTCTCACAATCTCTGGTTGCCAATTATATGCTTTTTCATAATTTTTTTTGACATAAGTTTTTGTTTACCCGAACCATACCTAATTTAAAGGCATTCTGTAGTTACCGTTGTTTTCATGATAGTTAAAACATAGTATATGACTATTTTGTACCCTTCCAAGTGTTGTAAATGTGGATTAGAGATCTAAAGTATCCTGTAAGGGCCCTGGCAATGTTACATTTATGGTGTGATTCATGTATTCCTCACACCATAAATGTGAGTGTGCCACATGTTAAAGCCAATTTGTAGTGTAGTTATATAGCAAATGAGCCACAAAGATGTTTCATATAATGTGGAACATCTTGTGGCTTGTTTGTACTGCAACTTAAACTGAGTATGCAGTATGTTGGGGATGCCCCAGACCAAATCCTGACACTCAGCTGAGCTTCAGGATTCAGTTTGCAGCAGCCTCCAGGTCTGAGACACAGCTGCTATCTACCCAATTAGCAGGATCAGGTGGGCAGCAGCCCTGAGTTCAGGTCCTGGCCGCCCCTCAAGGCAGATGGAGGTTGGGGCCTGCTATCAGGGAGCATCAGAAGAAGCTCTCTGATCTCTGGTTCCTGTCATATAGGGACTTTCAAAAAGTATGAGTGGTACTGGGCTGTCTGATCCAGGGCTGCTGGGTCTGTACCTGGTTTCTGAGTCTGAGGAGCCATTAAAGCTGTGATTTCAGTCTAGCTACAGGTGTACTTTTTAAAATTCCCCATGCACTGGGAACAAGTGGCAGTTATTGGTTGTTTGGGATCCATGTGACAGGCCATGATATTTTTAGGATCCATCATAAAATTAGTTGGATCCCAATTGCATAAGTAAATTAATGTCTATCAGTAATATTAGAAGGTGGATTTTAGTGTCTCTGGAAATGAGAGTATTTTTCAGATACTTATTTTCTCTGCAGCCTTCATGGAGTGCCAGCCTCTCTGTAAGGCTGTGCTATCATTTGTCTTAAGAAAAGAGTTTAGGCATTGGAAAGGTAGTAATAACTGTCAGCACTGGGTTTTTTATCACCTGGTTGTTAGATTAATATAGAATAAGGGTTTTCAACTTTTTTTTAAGGAATGTACCCCTTCTGGGTACACTTCTGGTGATGTGGGGGGAGGGGGTGTCAGTGGCAGCACAAGGTGGTGGATGGCAGCAGTGCCCATCGCTGCGTGCAACCCTCTCTCTCCCCAGTGTCCGGGTGGTGCTTGTGTGGCCCACAGAGGGGAGCCATTGCTTTCACTCCCCCCCTGCCCCCCCCCCAGCTCTGCTCCTGGGAGACTGATGCAGGGTGGCAGGTGGCGGTGCTCCATCCCCGTCCGTCTATGTGTACCTCCTAGCTCCTTTCCAAGTACCCCTGTTGGTATGCCTAATTTAGACGGTAGAATACTATGTAGAGAGACTGCTTTCTATTTCTGAAATCCTTACTTTTAAGAAGGCATAAAAGAAAGTGATAAATCTGTAGATTCCCAGATTAGAAGAGACACTGCATTGGTTCCATTAATTCCCATTGTATAAAAAGACTTTTCTGTTGTTCTGCATCTTTTGTTTCCTTCATCATTTCATGGTCAGAAGGCACACTGGTTTTATGCTTATGATAAATTTTACAAATAAGCAAATTGCAGATTCTGTATCTTTTCATTTGAACATTTGGGATATGGAGATGCTTTGAGTCTTTATTACATGTTTGCGTGTCTTGAATTTTGTTATTGATGAGTTTTAAGATTTCTGACTACTTTGATTTCTAGACTACTCGCCTGATACAAGATCAGTCACAAGAAGAACTTGAACTGCATAACCAGCGCCCCCATTTTCTTGAGGATAGTGAAGATCAAAGTAGGCGTTCCTACAGGTCTGTTTTACTTTATTTTTAAACTTAGTCTTATAACTTTTTAATATCCTGTATTACTTTTTAAATGTAGCCAATACAGACACCATCAAGGGCTTAATCAAGGGCTTTGGAAACCAGCTGTACACTTTGAAAATTAGTCTATAACTTTGAAAAAAGGCAATGAAGGAGAGATGGGGGGAACAAGCCCATTATGCAGTCATGTTAATGATCATTGTGATTCACTCAGTGAACAGAGGGTACTGTATTCAGGAGATGTTGAACCCCACTCTTGAACTGTCCTTAATGGATTTTTTTAATGTAACCTCATGTTTGTGAAAGCATATATCCTTTTGTGCAAATTTCACATGATAAATAGGGTTGCAAGTTGTGCAGAATTCACATTCTACTGTACCACTGAATATATTAACAAAACAGAAATAAAAGAAGCAGAAATGATAAGCTGACCCCATCTGTTTCAACCAGATGTTGAGAACATAGTCTTGACCATCTTGATTGGAACACCCAAAGAAAGACTTAAACAAAGACTAGAAGTTCCTTATTGTTCTGGTTACCATAGGGCCACCACGTTACGCTATTTGCCCTAAATAACCAAGTTCCACAAGTTGATGGATTTTGTGAAAAGAAAACAGAAGACCAAAATATTTTCATTAAACACTTGATTGATTCTATCCATGCAAGTCCTAGGTGCCATCAGATTTTCCAGTTAAGACGGTAGAGATTTTTTTAAAAGACACTTGTAAGGTGCATCAATATAACGCTATCTGAAAACTACATTTTCTTAAATAGATGTGAGTATTGCAACAAGGGTTTTAAGAAATCCAGTCATTTGAAGCAGCACGTGCGATCACATACTGGCGAGAAGCCCTATAAATGCCAACTTTGTGGCCGTGGGTTTGTTTCCTCAGGAGTTCTTAAATCACATGAGAAGACCCATACAGGTAATTACTCAATATATGTATTTGTTTAAATGACTTCAGGTTTGGGAGTTGTCAATATTATATGTAAATGTATTGGATATGTTAAATACTTTCCCCCTGTTTCTTTAAGGAGTTAAAGCATTCAGCTGTAACATTTGCAATACATCCTTTACTACCAATGGCAGCCTTACCAGACACATGGCAACTCATATGAGCATGAAGCCTTACAAGTGTCCATTCTGTGATGAGAGTTTCCGAACAACTGTTCACTGCAAAAAGCACATGAAAAAACACCAGGCAGTTTCCTCTGCAGTAACAACAGCTGGAGAGGCAGGAGGAGGAGGAGGAGGTGAGCAGCTTATATTTTCCTGTTAGTGCTTTTTGATACACAAATGATCATCAGCATATTACATTCATGTAATGCTAGAGCTGTGATTATAACTTTTTTCATTCGAAAATGTAAGCATATGCCTAATGAGACAGTAAAACTGATTTTTTTGTTTTGTTTTTTTCCTAAATCAGTAGAGGAAACCAAACATACTTTTCAGCAGTTCTGATCTGTAAATGTTGGAATGGTATTCAATATACAGTAGCATCTTTCTTATCCAGCATTAATGGAGAATGGAGGCTGCTGGTTATCTAAAAATTCCAAAGACAGTGCCATACTTGTAGTGCAGTTTTTCAAAAATTAGTGTACAATGCATTACAGTGTAACATACTGTATAAAGAATAAAATAGTATACAGATAAAAATGCCATAATAGTCAGCCACCCCAAATGCCAGGGCAGCCTGGCCACACGCTGCTGCAGCAGGGGGGAGAGGTGCGCACACTCAGATACCCTGTGTGGGTACCCTCACAGCGATGCAGCAAAGCGGCGCAGTGCGGCACTGGGTGTGTTCCACCACTGAAATTCTGGTTAATTAAGTATGCTGGTTAGTTAAATGCCAGATAACAGAGATTTTACTGTATGTAGGACTGTAATAATACTCTATCTTATTTGTTAAAATTGTTTCATGTGGCAAATATCGAATGGCTTGTCAAAATATTTTTCATATTTCTACTTTGTGTGCATTCTTCCATTTACGTTCTATCAACCTAGTTTCTTTCTTATGGAAATCCCTTGCTTAAAAAAATTTTAATTCAGATTATATGGATGCAAACAAAGCTTGAGATATTAGTGGAAAAGTGTAGATATTTCCATGAAGGTGAGATCCCACAGTGGTGGAATTTTTGTGTTTTAGTATTTTCTGAAGAATTTTAAATTAGTTCTGTTGAAAAAGTAATTTTTAAAAAATGGAATTCAAAGTTCATTATATTTATTTGTGTGGATGTGGGTGTATAGATATGCGTACACGCACACACTCATGCATGCCACAGGCACATGCATCTAGAAGCCTTGTTGAGTCGTTATGAGCTATAAAGGTTTTGTATTTGAGGTTTACTTGACAGTTGTTTTGCTATAGAAAAAACAAGTGTGCTTACTAGAGCTGTATTTTCTAATAGGTTTTTTTTTGTTTTTGCTTAAATGTAGCTAAGCAAAAGTGGAGTTAGCATTGAGAATATGTAAATTTTACTTTGGGTAAAATGCATTATACCCCAACAACTTTAACGCTGTCATATTGGCATCATGCAGTAACCATATGATTAACACATGTTGCAAATTTAATCCCAGATAAGATTAAATATACTTTTGTACTTCTTAAATAGCCATAGGGTTGGAAGAAGATGATGAAAATTCTGAGAGGACCTCTAGAAAGTCTCGGCCTGGGGTCATCACTTTCACAGAAGAAGAAACAGCAGAACTTGCAAAAATTAGACCTCAAGAAAGTGCTACTGTCTCAGAAAAAGTTCTTGTCCAGTCTGCTGCAGAAAAGGATAGAATTAGTGAGATCAAAGATAAGCAAGCAGAACTGGAAGCAGAGCCCAAATATGCCAACTGTTGTACATATTGTCCTAAAAGCTTTAAAAAGCCCAGTGACTTAGTCAGGTAAGAAATATCAGTTTTGTGCCTTTTGGGTATGCTAAGTTCTTCATCTCACACCTCCCAATGCCAATGTGATCTTTCATGCAACTAAATTATGTCTTGTTTAGTTGTAATGTGTTATGAGGATTAACTAGTACTACCATATTTACCCAAATCCAACATGACCCCTGAATTCAAAACAACCCACCCAATAATTAGTGTCTATATATGGAAGATTATAATTTTTGAATAATTCTATGTATAGAATCTAATTATTGGGAGAGTTGTTTTAAGTGTGTGTGTCCACTGCTGTAGCAGGGAAAGCAATAGCAGGGGGGCTTGTGATGTGGGGGGCAGGCAATGGGGAGCCTGTAGGCAGACAGGTGGTAGGAGAGGCAGTGGTAGTCTGGCAGTGGCGATATGGCTGAAGTCCCAACTAGAACTACTGCCGCTATTAAGCCAGGTTGGAGCTGCACTTCATGGGGCCTGCCAGCGCAGAGCAAGAGTAAGTGGTTGGGGACAGGGGAGGAGTGGGGACAGCAGAAAGGCAGAGGCTGCAGGGAGGGGTGGAAGATGGGAGGAAGAGGGGATGGGGGATCCCGAGACTTCTGGGGAGTGAGAGGTAGACAGGGAAAGGGATCAGGCTGCAGCTGCAGTTACAACTGCAGCTCCAACCCTGAATTGGAGCTGGAGCCGGAACTACAGTAGCTGCCTACCCATCCCCGTCTTCCCGCCTCCTTGTAATCAGTTCCAAGACGAGAGGCTATTTTCCCCATGTTAAATGGAGGGGAAACCTTGTTTTGGAATCCAGTAAATACAGCAATAAGCACTTCATTTTCACAGCAGTTTATAAATACTTAATGAGCGCATCCACACATCCTGTTATGGCATTGTTGTTACTGCGCCATCATTTAGTACTTCCTTTTGGGCTACTTCCATTTTTTTTAGTATTTCTTTTTGGAAGTACTAAAAAATGGTGCTGTAACAGTCGGTACTGCACTGTGTGTGCTGTGCATAGTTGTTTTTAGGTATTATGTCACTCTAGCAATGTGCTATAATGGGGGAGCACATAGCTATGGTATCGTAGCTGTAGTGTCACAGGTTTTGCCCACAGATGCTATATCGCCATAGTGTGTTGCTACAGTGATGCAGTATCACATGTAGACGCACCCAGTATTGCTCTTTGAGGTAGAAGGAAATACTGCCTATTCTGAGATTGTAGTATCGCTGCTTTTCTCTCATATTTCCATTTTCCTGTGTTAAGATGATTATTGTAAAGTCTTAGAATATATATTTATATTCAGGGATTTGCTCATGTGGATTTTTATAGCAGTAGAATTAGAATATGCAATATGTAAAAATCTAGTTGGAGCACGAAAACAAATTGCATACATCTTTAAATTCAGCTTCCTACCAGTTCTGAATATTTAATAAGCTTAAATGTAAATGTAAGTTTTTAAATATTGCATTTTAAGTTGTAAGATACAAAGTGTTTAGAAATTGTCATGCTTTTTTAAAAACGCCAGTCAACACAGTAATTCAAGTGCACCCATTTATGTGTAGGCATGTTCGCATCCACACTGGAGAGAAACCATACAAATGTGATGAATGTGGGAAAAGTTTTACAGTGAAGTCTACTCTTGATTGTCATGTAAAAACACACACAGGTTAGTAAGACTTTGAAGTTCTGTATAAAGCTGTAAAGCTCTGTGTACTTGGACTTCTGTTACTTACTTATTATGGATGATGGAAGTTGGCATCTGCTGATGGGAAGTTAGGCACAGTATACTAAGAAGTGAGAGTGGACAAAAATGAAGGAGCTAAATTCTGATGGGAGTAAAGGGAAGGATTAGATGGACAAGGGGCATTATTATGATCATCAAGATGAGAAAATGAAGTGCAGTGTTGACAGAAAAACATAATCAAATAAATGTTAGAAAAAAGAAATGTTTAGAACTGATTTTGTTTCTCCAACTCTCTTCTTGATCTTTTTCAGGCCAGAAGCTCTTCAGTTGTCACGTATGCAGTAATTCTTTTTCTACCAAAGGGAGTCTAAAAGTGCATATGCGTCTGCATACTGGAGCAAAGCCATTTAAGTGTCCACACTGTGATTTACGGTTTCGTACTTCAGGGCGCAGAAAAACCCACATACAATGTCATTATAAACCAGAGACCAAGAAGGTCAGGAAGCCTGTCACCCGTGCCTCAGCTGAGGGACTGCAGCCAGTGAATCTTCTTAATTCTTCATCAACAGACCCCAATGTTTTCATAATGAATAACTCTGTTTTGACAAGTCAGTTTGATCAAAATTTGCTTCAGCAAGGACTTGTAGGGCAGGCTATCCTCCCTGCTTCTATGTCAGGTAAAAAAAGGGATAATGATATTTATGGTGATTTAGCTAATTACTGAGTTTTCACTTCTCTTTCAGTTTAGACTGCTGTAACTAAAGAACCTGTAGCGTCTCGTGTATTCAGCATCCCACACTTCAAAATGGCTGTGGGGGCACTTTAACTAAGTCTTGTTTGACGAGCTTTATTTGAAGTGCCCCCATCATTTTGTAGCAGAGGGACGCTGAGTACACAACACATGGGGGATGCTGGGTTGTGCTAATTAGCACACTCCAGCAGACTCAATTAGTCTGCTCTGATGCACAGTAATTACAGTGCATTGGAGCAGTGTCCCCGCATATCTACAGGCATCCTTAATGTGCAGTCAGTTTCTACCCATATGAATACATAATGTGTTTATAAGTAGAACATACTTTGAAATGTCTTTTTGAAATACACAGGTTTTGTACTTAGTAAAGTTGCTTAGACCTCATGTCCATGTATATTTACCATTACAGTGTGCCCATTAGTAAATCTGTTCTTTTTCTTTCGGAGAGGGTATGCTTCCAAAAGAAAAGGATCTTTGGAAATTTGACATAATAGGTACACATTTTAAAAGGTAGTCTGTAACTACTTCAAAGAAAAGGAGGCCAGCACTTAAATCTATTTTCCCCTTAAATTTTGTGAATATTTTTGTAAACCTAAAAAGTTAAGTATTAACTGTATGGATTTAATTAATTTTCCTGGGTATACAGAATTGCATATTTTGGTAATTGATTGGATTAAGAATACTGGTTAAAAAGGAGACCGGGAGTGACTAAGAAAAAAATTATAATATGACTGTTTTCTTTGATAGCTGGAGGTGACTTAACTGTGTCCTTGACAGATGGCAGTTTGGCCACTCTTGAAGGAATACAGTTACAGCTTGCTGCTAATCTGGTTGGACAGAACGTTCAAATTTCTGGAATTGATGCTGCTAGTATTAACAACATCACATTGCAGGTAGGCATTCCTTGATTTTTTTTGATTAATAAGAACCCTGATTCTGGCTGAAGCTTTGTGTGTACAGACACCTTTATGCTGGCAGAGCTGTACTGACTTCACTCTGGCTCTGCTCAGGTACAGAACAGAGTTCCCTGCATTTTCAAGAAATAGTCGTGGTTGGTCAGAACTGGAAAAATGTGTGCGCATGCGTACGCGTGTGAGCACACCCACGGGTGTGCTGAAAATAAAACTGCTGGCCTCTTTCTTTAGCATGTCTCTGAAATTGTATCCAAATTGTACCTTGTTTGAAACCTTATTTTATGCTTTTTATTATTTTATTTTTTTAAGTGAACACTTTTTTTAATCTACATTGGCCATTCAGGAAAAGCTCCCTCTCTCAGTACAAGAAACCTGTTTCTACCTCTGTTTCTGTATCTATTGTTTAAATTCTCAACAAGTATAAATATAAGTATAAATTAGAAATGAACATGAATTAGGAAAAAAGTGAAAAAAAGAGCAAGATCAAGCAGGAATTTAGGTATATAGTTCCACCAGATAGAGAAAAATGTCATTCCCACTATCAGTCTACACCCCCCCAGCTCCATTCTCTGTTACCTTACCTTCAGTATTAAACACTCGTGAAATGTGTCACATTTTACATAGAACCCCAAAAGTGATAAAGAAGAAATACTGAATTCTAAGGTGGGAGGAACCCAAGATGAAAAAGGGTATCTTTTAAGTAGGCCCTTCATGATTTAATCTAATGATTGTCACAACTACCCAAACATTTTGTCTGTTGCATTTACTGTGACAGATCTGGAGAAAGAGATACCATTTTAGCCAAAGCCCAAGCCTTTTAGCATTATGAAGCACAAAGGCAGCTCTTTGAATTCTGAGTTTATACTGAGAATGTTCACTTATCCACATTTGTTTTTCAGATCGATCCCAGTATCTTACAGCAAACCCTGCAGCAGAGTAATCTACTTGCTCAGCAGCTGACAGGGGATTCCAATATGCCTGCACAGAACAGTTCCCTCCAGGCACCAGACAACACAGTGCCAGCTAATGTGGTTATCCAGCCCATATCAAGCCTATCTTTACAGCCCACAGTTACCTCTTCAGCGAATATGACGATAGGATCCCTTTCTGAGCAGGAATCTGTGTTGACAACTAGCAGTAGTGGTAAGATGTTATTAACTCTTTGTTTTCACTTTGTTTCTTTTTAAGATAATTTTATTTGTATTTTGAACTGATGGGTCCTGATTGTTTTTTTTAAACTGACACTTTTTACTTTTGTAGGCAACTGTAGGCCTATATATAGACAATTACATTTTTTGAAATAAGTGTTTTTTATGCCTAGGGATAAATACAGACAGTGAAAAAAACCCAAGGCTGAACTGATTCAGTCTTCACAGGTTAGTCATAGATTGTGAACCAATAAGCAAGTGAACAGACATTCACTTTGGATTCCAGAAATGCAGCTAACTTCCCTGCAGTGGCCCAGGCCAGAAGCCAAGAGGCACTAGAGCATGCCTCCGTGTTCAACTGAAGCAGATAGCTTAAACCAAGGCTAGCCCACTCAGGGAGGTTTGCAGGGAAGGTGCAAAGCATCCTGGAATGCTGAGGGACTCTGAGTTAACTTGACTTTGGAGGGGATCTGGGACAGAAATTTAATAAATCAATTGAACCTGAAGTTAAGTCTGATACTACATCCATCAAGGTTTATCTTGAACCAGTTTCAGCCATTCTGAAAGCAGTTTATGTGCACTTAACTTCTGTTGTGTTATAGATTTGAAATGGTTTCTGATCACTTGTACTGGTTTATGTTTAAATTCTGTTTGTAGACTAAATGTTAGCAGTTAAGGGTGAATACAAAAGTGTCCCTACAAAACTGGAAGCCAGGTCTAAATCCTTACATAAACTTGGACCATGGAGTGTAAGCTATTTCTTAGTCATACATGTGCTTCATTTAGACTGCAAGTCTGTCAGAACCAGGACTATGCCAAGGAATTTCCTGTTTTTGTGTATATTTTGTTGGACAGATAACTGACATTCATATCAGGTAATACCATCAATAATGTTTTCTTTAAGTATTATTAGGGCTACATACCTGAACAAACAAACAAAGCAATTGTCAGAGTTAGTATTACAACTAGAGTAAAGACTAAAAATAGAGGATTTGTGCATAGGAAGTTCTGAGATCTTTAAGTATGGTTGAGATGTCAGTCTCTCCTTTTTCCTGAAACTAGGCATTCAGAAACTATGTGTTTATTTTTCCAAACTACACAGTTTTGGAAATCTTCAGTGTTAAACATCAAGGTCCAAGTTGTGATAATGTTGAAGGGTGTTGTTGCCATGATGGTAAAGGACAAATAAGGGAGGCAAGAATTTTTTGTCTTTCATCAGGAAGGGTACATTGTTACCCAAAAGTTTTGTCTCTGTTCTTCACAACTATACAGTTGGTCCAATAAAAGATATTACCCATAAAAATCCTTAGGCCAGAGTTTATATTTTGACTTTGAAACATTTTATACATTGAAACATTGATTCAATCTGTATGCTCTCTTGAAATATTTTGATTTAATTGAATCATCTGTGTTTTCTGATGGGAAACTTTCAGTGGAAAGATTATAATACTCTCTTTGTCTTGCTGCGTTCATATACATTGTGATCATCTTGAATCCAAGGCAACTTTGAATTTAAGACCCCTCTCCCCCAGTAATTACATTCTGTACATGGAAAATTATAAACAATGTTGTAATTTTGTATGTGTAGAATCTAATTATTGGAGGTTGTTTTAACTTCATGTGTCCTTCCGCTACTATGGCAGGGAAAGAAAGTAGGAGTGGGAATAAGCAGTGGCTGGGGAAGGTGGGGGTCCTGTGCCCACCACCACATGCTCCCCCATGGCTGATGCCTACCTCCCAACTATCTGTCCCTGCTGCCACTTGCCTTCCCCCTTCTTGCCTGTCATCTTCCACCACCAACTTACTCTATGGTCGCTTTGACTCCAGCTTTTCATTCTGAGGTATGGAACCCGTTGTGGTTTGGGCCCCAGCCAGGTAGCAGTGGTGACAGCAGCCCCAGACCATGAATGCCACAACTCCTGTGCCATTGCATGATTCTCCTCCACAACACCTCTACTGTCTCCCCCATGCTTCAACAGCTCCTGCCCTGGCTGGTACTTGGATCCAAGGTGGAGTTTCTTTTTCCCTATGTGGAATGGGGAAAAGAAACCTCATTTTGGATTCAAGTAAATACTGTCTCTCTCTCTCTGTGTGTGTGTGTGTGTGTGTGTGTGTGTGTGTGTGTGTGCGCTCTAGGTTTTAGAACTACACATTTAGCATTCTCTGTGACTATTATCTAGTGAAAATGTTTTAACAGAATAAACAAAATTTACTCATTTTTAGATATTTTATGGTGCAGTTTTCATAGCTTTTTAGCTGTGTAGCCTGACAATTAAATTATTTAAAATGGTGATAAGCATTTGATTGATATGCAAAATATAGGGGTGGTTAAAGTTATTTTTAAAGGCTTTAAATAGATTTTGGAAAATAGTACTGATTTTCAGCATTACATTGAAGCCCATGCATCTGTAATGGTGGTCTGTGTCAGATTTCAGGTTGGTTTCCCAAATTTTCTTACACTATTTAAACAAAATAAAATAAAATACTTTTTTAAAGTGGGCAAGTGGATGTTCTTTCACTCTTCTCATTCAAAAGAGCTTAAGTTGGTTGCTTAAATTTTCCAAAAAAAATCATGTATTAACGAATAGTTGGTCCAGCAGGTGAAATGTTGACATTTGAGGAATTTTAAATTGGTGTTATGATGGAAGAACTTATTATAATTGTTATTCTTTCTCCAATTCCAGTACTTCTGTAGTTCAATAAAAAAATATTACATAAAAATGTTTTTATATACTTAGAACAGCACAAACTTGCAGTATGTGGATTTGTTAACAAAAAAGGTCTTGGTATTTAACATTATAAAACTTGTTTTAAAACAGGGGTGGGCAGTTATTTTGGCTGGAGGGCCACTTAACTAGTTTTGGTGAGCTGTCGAGGGCTGCATGGCTAGCCCCTCCCCTTGACAGTTGTCTCTCTCCCTGGTTGACATATCGGGACCAAAAGTCTTGCCCCCTAATCCCTGACCTTTGCCCCCCAGAAATGCTCCGGGGGGGGGGGGGGGTGTTGCCATTTTGGAACCAGACAAAAATCAAATCGTACACTAAAAGTCAAACACCTGCTATAATATTTTATTACAAAAATATTTGCCATGATTTGTGTTTGCATGCTGTGTATAGAGGCACTTGCATAATAACTCAAAAATAAAGCCTTACTCTTGTATGTTGTGTG